TTTTTTCTTTTTGCTTATGTGGTGCTGAGGAATCGAACCCAGGGCCTCATGCATGCAAGGCAAGCGCTCTACCACTGAGCTACCTTCCCAGCCCTTGTTTTTTTGCTGGTCCTGGGCTTGAACTCAGGGCCTGAGTGCTATCCCTGAGCCTCTTTGTTCTCAAAGCTAGTACTCTATCTACCACATGAGCCACAACACCACTTCTGCCTTTTTCTTAGTGTATTAGAGATAAGAGTTTCATGAACTTTTCTGCTTGGGCTGGCCTTGAACTATGATCCTCAGATCTCAGCCCCCTAAGTAGTTAGGATTACAGGTATGAGCCACCAGTAAGCACCCAGCTATTTTCTATTCTTAAAGACATATAAACAGGCTGTGGCCTTTCAAATTTATTGTGTCTTTATATCTGTTAAAAATATTTTTTGCACGTAGGTCTGATTTCTGTTTTTTTATTTGTAATCTCTTTTCTTTCTTTGATCTTCATCCTGTCTGTCTTTCTTTCTATCCTGATACAAGAGCTTGAACTCAGGGTGCTTGTCTTCTTCTTCTTCTTTTTTTTTTTTGACATGATAAGGCTCTACCATTTGAACCACAGCTTGGCTATCTTTTTATGCCTACCACCCTTCTTCTCCTGAGTGCCAGTACATTTGCTCTTTGACTTAAAGGAAAAATAAAGGTTTGTTACATTCCTGGATCTGTTAGAAACATTTTGTTAGCAGTGGTGCATTTTTTATTGTGGTTGCTCTGGATGCTTATAGTAAGATTTATAGAAGAGGCTAAAGATGAATATGGATTCTAAAAGTGTCAACAGTTTTTGAACTACTTATCAAGTACTTGAGGATTGATGTTTGCTGACTGGCACATTCTAAGCAATTCTTGAAATACATATTGAAAAAATACATTTGCTAAACATTGTAAGTAAAATTACATTATTTTACATTATCACTGTTTTACTGAGATTTTGTTTATCAATTCTGTCATTTGAAGTTCAAGATAGGTGAAGTTGTTTAATCTTACTGCTGCATCAGGATTCAGGAAACTTGGATTCTGTTCTTTTTTCTTTAAAGCAAATGAATAACCAAGCATAACTGATATGTAATATGAGACTGTATTTCACGTATAGAATTTTGTAATGGTGGCATTTATACACCCTAGAGAACAATATGCCATTGAGATAGTAAATGTATTTATCCCAGTGCAGATGGTCTGCAAACCCTCTGGACTTTCTCCCCCATTACCTCCAGGCCTTGCCCCAAGGCAATGATAGATCTGATTTCCTTCTCCTTGGATGCTTTTCTCTTTTCAAGGCTTGTGAATAAACAGAGTCCACTCAGGCTATATGCTTTTCTCTCTTTTTTTAAAGTTACCTTTAATTTTTCTTTAATATTGATCTGTGGTTTCCAACATACTTTGCAAATGTTTTCTCTGATCTGTCTTTAAATTTTCACATTTTTATGCTTTTGCAAGTGATTGTGTTTTCATTTTCTGCTTGAATCTTGACAATAATCTGTTGTTTATGCCTAACTTTCTAGGATAGGCTCTAGTCTTCTTAAGGGAAATGGATCATATTTCATGATTTTGGCATTGACTCCTAGTTCTATATTACAGCATCTAATTAAGAACTTTTCCTAAGGATGAGCCCTTGAAACATTAGTAAGCCAAAAGGTATCTAAGCTGGTTTTGTGAAACATAAACAAGTTCAGAAATGAACACTGTTGATGATGTTTTGCTAATATTGAAATCTTCTTATTCAAAATAATATCCTAAAGTAGTGCTGTCTGAGAGAAATGTCATGTGAACCACATTCCCAATTTGAACCATTGAAAAGTTCTGATGAATCTAAAGTTCTGATGTATCTAATTACCATTCAGAAAATAATATATACAGAATTATGTTTATTCTTTCTAATTTGATACTGTCTTTGAAAACCATTCCACGTATGTTTCTAGTACATCTCAATTTTTGTCTAGCCACAGTGCTATTACTTTGGAGGGAGTGCTATATTGAGAATTGAACCCAAGGCCACTTGAGCTATGTCTCCAGCCCTTTTTGTTTTTATTTTGTGAGACAAGGTTTTGCCTCCTTTTTCCTGGGCTAGTCCTCAACTCTGAATCCTTCTGTTTTTGCCTCACAAACAGATGGGATTGCAGTCATTTACCACCACAGCCAGCTAATTTTTCTTGATTTAGAGTTGCAGGTAATCAAGCATTACTAAAGAAAGGTTTTGAGGGCTGGGAATGTGGCTTGGTGGTAGAGTGCTTGCCTAGCATGCATACCACATAAACAGAAAAAAACAGAAGTGGCGTTGTGGCTCAAGTGGTGAAGTGCTGCCTTGAGCAAAGGAAGCTCAAGGACAGTGCCCAAGCCCTGAGTTCAAGCCCCAGGACTGGCAAAAAAATAGAGAGGTTTATATCCCCCCCCCTTTTTTTTTTGTCAGTCATGGAGCTTGAACTCTGGGCCTGGACGTTGTCCTGAGCTCTTCAGCTCAAAGTGAGCACTCTACCACTTGAACCACAGCACCACTTCTGGTTTTCTGGTGATTAATTGGAGATAAGAGTCTCATGGATGTTCATGCCTGGGCTGGCTTTGAACCACAGTCCTCAAATCTCAGTCACCTGAGTAAGCGAGGATGACAGGCATGAGCCACCAGCGCCCGGCAGCCACCAGTGCCTGGCTATTTCTTCATCTGTAGGACTTGTAACTCTACAGAGATGTGCCCCTGAATTAAGAAAGTCTCATCATCTAGTTTTATGGTAGTATCTTGGCTTTAATGAAGAATTGTTAGTCTGGATCCTGGCAAAAAATATATCTTAGATAGGAATTTTCAGACGCTTTCAGGTCAAGTGTAGTGTAAAGTCTGTAGCTTCATATTTCGTTGTTTTTTTGGTAGGTGTCTGCTGCAGATATTTCCTTGAATAAGGATGAAGAAGAAAACTCTATGCACAATACAGTGGTGTTGTTTTCTAGCAGTGACAAGTTCACTCTGCATCAGGTTGGAATTTAATCCTGCTTCTTAAGTTCCTCTTCACCCACTCTTTTACTTTATACTGTGTATACAAATACCATCTAATTTGGCTATAGTATGAGGTTAATTAAAAAAGTATTTTGAAAATAAACTGTGTATATTCCTAGCTTCATTGCCAGTTTAAAATTATTTTTTGTGTTCTTAATTCTAGGATATGTGTGTGGTTTGTGGCAGTTTTGGCCAAGGAGCAGAAGGGAGATTACTTGCTTGTTCTCAGTGTGGTCAGTGTTACCATCCATACTGTGTCAGCATCAAGGTAATCATGCTTAAGTTAAATGAGTTAATTTCAGGTATTTGTGATAGCTATTATATATAGTCAATAATTTTGATAATAAATACTATTTTTAAGAGTTTATTGTCACTAGGCACTGGTGACTCATGCTCATAATACAGGCTCCTCAGAAGGCTGAGATCTGAGAATCATAATTCAAAGCCAGCCCAGACAGGGAAGGCTGTGAGACTCTTACCTCTAATTAACCACCAGAAAACTGAAAGTGGTGCTATGGCTCAAGTGGTAGAGTACTAACCTTGAGCAAAAAAAGCTCAAGGACAGTGCCTAGGCCCAGAGTTCAAGCCCCACAACCATCACCACCACCCCCCCAAAAAAACAAAGGAAAAAAAGTTTATTACGTTAGTAAATTTCCTCTTAGAAACTGTGGCCTTAACTTACAGTGATTAATGTGGCATTGTCTTGAAAAATTAAAGCTTGAAAATGCATGCATTTAGTTTATAAAAGAATTTATCCCATTAGCATTTGCTAAAGCATTGTTTAATTAGTTTTTTGTCTGTTGATTATGAAAGTTCAGAATGAATACTTAGTCAAAATTAATTTGCTGGTTCTGGTTTCTCTCTCATTGACTTTCCTCAGCCCTTTTTTACTTTATTTTATTTTACTTATTCTCATAGCTGAAAGAAATAAGACAAATGCCAAATTTAAGACACTTGAGTTATAGTAACTGACAACCTAAAATACTCAAATATTTTAGGTTAGACACTCCATGGGGAACCTTTCATTGGTAATCAGGCAGTTGGTTTTAAAGTTATTTAAATATTGGTGTATCTCATTCAACTGGTTCAGCATGGAACTCAGGTTCTTAATTTCTTTGTAAAATCTCAGTTTTAGTAAGACCTAATGATATTTGAATAAAATAAAAAATGATTACTCGTGGTCAGGATAAAGGTACAGCTGTAGGACAGCCCTTCTGGACCCTGGGTGGTGTAAGCACAAGCTTTAGCTTCTGTGTCATAAGTCATCCTGAATTTGCAGTTGCAGTTCACCTCTTTCTCCTGCCATTCAATATTATCACGCTATATGATTACTTATCCACACTGTAAGTACGGGAAACCACATACCCTGTGTAATTCTTTTGTAGATTAGCAGAGGGTTTTGTGAACTTAGAAGTCAAAATGAAGGGGCTGGGAAAGTGGCTCAGTGGTAGAGCGCTTGCCTTGCATGCATGAGGCCCTGGGTTCGATAAGCAGAAAAAAAAGCTGGAAGTGGCGCTGTGGCTCAAGTGGTAGAGTGCTAGCCTTTAGCTGAAGAGCTGTGGAACAGCGCCCCAGCCCAGAGTTCAGGCCCACAACCGGACCCAAAAAAAAAAAAAAAGAAACCAAATTAAAACCTGAACTTCGTCCAAGACAGAAGACTTGTTTTAGGCAGTACTGATATTTGAACTCTGACTATGTTTGCTAGACAAGCAGACCTATATGATAGAATATAACATAGGGCTAGGAAGGTGGCTTTAGTGGTAGAGTACTTGCCTAGCATGCATGAAGCCCTGGGTTCCATTCCTCAGTACATAAAAAAAGCTGAAAGTGGCACTGTGGCCTTAAGCAAAAGAAGCTCAGGGACAGCACCCAGGCCCTGAGTTCAAGCCCCAGGACTGGCCAAAAAAATAAAAAATATATATATGTATATTATATATACACATACACATACCTGGCACAACTCTAAACATGGTAGGAATTAGTTGATGGCACAGTCCTGTAACCTAGGGTAAAAACGGAATCTCAAAGGGGAGAAAATCATTTGAAGTATTAAAGTGCTTTGTTTGGTAAAATGATGCCAACATTAGCATGTCAGGTAGGTTTCGGAGTCAGGTCTTAGCTGGCTGGAGCAGTAGAAACCAGACAGCAGTGTCATGGAGAGTGAAATAAACTGATCAGCTGAGCGTTTGGCCATACAGAACTATGGATGGGTTTCTGTGAAATTAGAAAGCTGAATAGGAATAAAAATTGTGTGTACACATGTGTGTGCACACGTGCGTGCACCTATGTTCTACTACAACTATGGTAGCTCTGCTGGTTGTTTTCTTAATCTCATGCTTTTTTTTTTTTCTTCTTTTGGTGCACACCTTCATTCTATTGCATGCATCTCTGGGTGACTTCTTTGTTACTATGCTTGCTATTATTACTGTTATTGTTGTTATTACTATTGTTACTATTATTACTGTTATTACTCTGTAGTTGTACAAATAGGTTACAGTTCTATAAATTAGGTTATGAGTATAGTGCTTATTGAACAGTGTCTAGGTGACTTTTTTAGGAGTTTGTATCTGAGTAGTATTCTACCTCCTTATAGAGTGCCTGTTCAGCTAGGTTAAGTAGTAGGCTTCAAAAATATTTTCCTTTATAATTTGGAAACTGTTTCTTCTAGTCGCTTATTGGGAAATTTCTTTTGGGGGGGGGGTTCTGGTCGTGGGGCCTGAACTCTGGGCCTGGGCGCTGTCCCTCAGCTCTTCAGCTCAAGGCTAGCGCTCTACCACTTGAGCCACAGCGCCACTTCTGGCTTTTTTCTTTTTGCTTATGTGGTGCTGAGGAATCGAACCCAGGGCCTCATGCATGCAAGGCAAGCGCTCTACCACTGAGCCACCTTCCCAGCCCTTATTGGCAAATTTGATGACATTTGGCAGATAGCTGTTTCTTTGAGTTTAACTCTTTTATTTTTTCTTTATAGCATTCAGACTTTCTTACTCCTTAAGACAGGAATCTGTTCTACACCTTAGTTGTTTTATATTTCATTGTGACATAGACACTTAGTCTTTGAGATCTTTAAGAAATTGCTTCACATTTTTAATTTTATTTATTGTGTTTCCTTGGATTCAATAGGAATATAGAGATTGTCTTCTATACATACCCTTAAGGTAAAAGACAAGAAATAGATGAGTGAAGATGTGCATTAGAAGTCGCAGCTTGATGGCCTAAACACCTGCAGGACCAATCCCTGAGAGCTGATTCTTACCAGTATTTTTCAGAAATATTTTTCCTTAGTTTTTGTATTGATTTTAAGAGATATGTCTCTAAGGTACACAAATTTCAAAAGCATGGAGTTCATGGAAATGTCCCAGGTAGATTTTTTTGGGGGGAGTGCCAGTCCTGGGCCATGAACTCAGGGTGCTGCCTGGGTGCTGTCCTTGAGCTTTTTTGCTCAAGGCTAGCACCTAACTACTTGAGCCACAGCTCCACTTCTGGCTTTTTGGTGGCCAACTAGTGATAAATCTTAAGGACATTCCTGCACCGGCAAGCTTCAAACTGCAATCCTCAGATCTCAGCCTCCTGAGTAGTTAGAGCTGTAGATGGAGATTTTGCTGATATAATTTCAAAATCTGTATCAATAGAAATGAGGCAGCTTACTTGATTTCTTGGAAGTCCAGTTACTGTACCTAGATAAGAAGTGAAATTAAATTTGTATGCCCAGGCAGTTAGTTGATTAAAAATAGCACTACTGTCTCTGCCACTCTGGGTTATACAGCTGATCAGGTAGGCTCCTAAAAATACATGAGCATCCGCTACTCACTACTGGGTCATCATAATTAGTTGCTTTCCTCCTTTCTGCTTTTTTGGTACATAAGAGCCTTTTAAATTTACATAATATACTCAATTATGCAAGCTGAGGCCTGCGTTAATTATGAATTACATGGATTGGTGGTTTCCTTTACAGATCACTAAAGTGGTTCTTAGCAAAGGTTGGAGGTGTCTGGAGTGCACAGTGTGTGAGGCCTGTGGGAAGGCCACCGACCCCGGAAGACTCCTACTGTGCGATGACTGTGACATAAGCTACCACACCTACTGCCTCGACCCTCCTCTGCAGACAGTTCCCAAAGGAGGCTGGAAGTGCAAATGGTACGCCTGGGTGTATGCTGCCTTACTGTGCTGTCACCAGCAGAACGTTCTCATAGCATCGTAGTTTTCAAAATGAGCCATTTTGTGTTTCATCACACAATACACATTTGCTGGGATAGATGATACCAATAAGAGAAATCTTCTCAATTGCCTTAAATGATTTCTAACTCTGCTTACGTGTGGCTTCCTTAGTCATACTAGCTAAGGAAAATACAATGGAGACTTTTGGGGGGCTTTGGCTTGCAGGTGTGTTTGGTGCAGGCACTGTGGAGCGACGTCCGCGGGCCTGAGGTGCGAATGGCAGAACAACTACACCCAGTGTGCGCCGTGCGCCAGCCTGTCCTCCTGCCCGGTCTGCTGCCGAAACTACAGAGAAGAAGATCTCATTCTGCAGTGTAGGCAGTGTGATAGGTAGTGTATCTATTTTTCCTTTTTTATTTTTTGTGTACTTTTTTTTTAATGTAGTGAAAGGAACTTAGAAAATAACTTGCTTTCTAGGTACGTAGTCAGCTAGAAACTTACAGATACTCTTTCTAATTTAAATGCCCAATTCCAGATAAAAGATTTTTAATTGGGACTTTTTTGGGGGGGAGAGGGGGTCCAGTTGTGGGGCCTGAACTCTGGGCCTGGGCGCTGTCCCTCAGCTCTTCAGCTCAATGCTAGCACTGTACCACTTGAACCACAGTGCCACTTCCAGCTTTTTTCTTTTTGCTTATGTGGTGCTGAGGAATCGAACCCAGGACTTCAGGCATGCAAGGCAAGCGCTCTATCACTGAGCTACCTTCCCAGCCCCTTAATTGGGACTTTTTGAGGGCTTATGAATCCCTTGAAATTAGATGTAGAGATATTGTTGTCATTTGTGCATTTTTCTTTTTGAGTGTTTCTGAATCTTCCTGAATTTAGAAGTTTTATATTCTAAAAGTGGTTTCACCCATTCTGTTTTTTTCAGCCACTAGGTATTAGATATTGCCTCTAGTATATCTAAGTAGTATTGTGTGTGCAGTTTTAGCATTCAGACTGATTTCTTTGGTTTTATTTGTTATTGTGCTGTCCTAGTAGTTAAACACTGTATACATAATAGCATTAATAATGTTATATTATCAATCAAATAGTAGCCAGTAGCCTTAGAACTCTTCCTTCAGATTCTCTGTTTCCCAATTGCCACTCAGCATTGTTTTATATGAGTTATATCTGCTTTTAAAATTTAATACATCATGTGGAACACATTCATGTTATGTCATTGCAGTCTTCTGAATTCTTCCTTCTTGTTCTGACAACTACAGTGCTGCCTGTGATACATTTGGTTTTGGATCACTAAATAGTTATCCTATTCTTTTTTTTTTTTTTTTAATCTTTTGGTACCAGTCCAGGAGCCTGAAGTCAGGGCCTGAATGGTGTCCCTGATCTTTTTTTTTTTCTTCTTCTTCTACCACTTGAGCCACAGCTCTACTTCTAGCTATTTGGTATTTGTTTGGAGAAAAGAGTCTCAGGGACTTATTCCCTGAGCTATCCTCAGATCTCAGCCTCTTGAGTAGATAGGATTACAGGCGTGAGCCATCAGGCCTCGCTTATCCTATGTTTTGGGGGGGATTTGTATTTTTTTGTTTTTTGTCCTTTGTTGTTGTTGGTTATGAGGCTTAAACTCTGGGCCTGGGCACTGTCCCACAGCTCTTCAGCTCAGGCAAGCACTCTACCACTTGAGCCACAATGCCACCTCTGGTTTGCTGATGGTTTATTGGAGATAAGAGTTTCACAGCCTTTCTGCCCAGGCTGGTTTTGAACCTTGATCCTCAGATCTCAGCTTCCTGAGTAGCTAGGATTACAGGCATGAGCCACTGGTGACCGGTGATCCTATGTTTTTAATGTAATGTGCATTTGCTTTCTCCCTAGTACTCATTCCCCTCCATTCTCCTTCTCAGCTCTATAAAAGTTTTGTGGGTCTATCTATAGGCATGGTAAGGGAAGGAAGCAAAGTAGGCTCTTTGGGAGGAACATGTAAGCCTTTGAGGCTTTTAGGTTTGAAGATTATTGATTCCTTTTGTAGTGGTTATAAAAGGCAGTTCTCAGTAATCCTGTGCTTTTAACATGTACAAAAATATGGTCTTTTTAGATGGATGCATGCAGTTTGTCAAAACTTAAATACTGAAGATGAAGTGGAAAATGTAGCAGACATTGGTTTTGATTGTAGCATGTGCAGACCCTATATGCCTGCGTCAAATGGTAAGAGAATCATTTAAATGAGAATCTATCCTGTCCTGTGCCTCACACCTGCTGTCTATAAACTAGTGTGTGAGCTTAATTTATTTTGGCTTTTGTGAATATATTATTTGGACAAGTATTTCATCTTATTTTATTCTGTTTATTGCATCAGTTGTACCAAGGGGGTTTCATGTATATGTATGCATCCTATTTATCTTAATCAGAGTCATCCTCTCTGTCCCTTCTCCTCTTTTCCTCCTGTTCCTGTGTTAATCATACAGTTGGTATCCTAACTCTTTTTGAATGAAATGAGTACAGAAACTGAAAATTTAATCCTATTAACCTTTTCTAGAAAAATTACCTGATTATTTTTCCTATATTTCAGTGCCTTCCTCGGACTGCTGTGAATCTTCACTTGTAGCACAAATTGTCACAAAAGTAAAAGAGCTAGGTAAAGTGTGAAATGACTTATCATCTGTTCTTTAGAAAAAGCATATGATGTTTAAATCTTTTATAACTGGCTTGTTACATATATAAATTCTATCTTGATCCCTGTGGGGAGTCAGTGTAAGTTCTGATACTAATAATTAATATACAAATCTTCCATTTTATCTAGTTTTACTAGGACAGTATTTTATAAATTTCAGAAGATTAGCAATAAAAATTACAGCTCTTACAGGAAGTGTTAATGACTTGCTTGCTTTGACTTCACTGGCATATTATTGTGCTTTAATTTTGAGTTAAAAAAGAATAGTGAGGAAAAAAAGAATAGTGTGCAAATTCCTTTAGAATTCATTTTCTTATTTGTTTTTGTAATTGACAGCCAAGCTTGTGATTCATAGGATACTTTTATGAAGCCATTTTTTATTATTTGTATTTGATAATGTCTATCTAGAACATTTTAATGGTTCAGGAATTGCTCCATTGAACACTAGTTTTGCATATTTAAAAATTATGTCAATGATTTTTACACATACACATTACTATGCATGATCATATGATGCTTTGGTTTCCAGATGGACTTCTAGAGTATTCTTGTTTCGTAAAAAAGACCAAAAGGCTCATAACTGAGTGGCTGAATCATTACGTTTACTCTTACTGTTTTCTTTCTAAATCCTTCTCTGATACATAAAAACAGAAATGCCTGGAAGAGTAATCTTTCTAATTGAATCAATATTCCCAATTTTCATTGCACATCACCAAGTTGGTTATTGCTTTTCATAGATAAATGAATGCTGTGTGAAACTATAGTTAATTTCCAATCAGTAGGTCTTTGATGTTTATTTTGAAACTCTAACCAATTTGACCATCTTTTAAAATTGTTTTGGGGCTTTTGTGGTTTTAGATCCACCTAAGACATACACCCAGGATGGTGTGTGCCTGACCGAGTCAGGGATGACTCAGTTGCAGAGCCTCACAGTAACGGTTCCGAGAAGAAAACGATCAAAGCCAAAACTGAAATTGAAGATTATAAATCAGAATAGTGTGGCTGTCCTTCAGACCCCTCCAGACATTCAGTCAGAGCACTCAAGAGATGGTGAAATGGATGATAGTCGAGGTAATAATTATTTCCCTTGGAATACACATGTAAGTGTCCATGAGCCCCAGGTCTGTGACCCTCATAAGGTGGGACAATTCAGAGGACTTCACTTTAGCAGAAAAGATTTATGTCACTGCAGATGACATAAGATTTAAATCTTTTCAGAAACCATGTTTAAGGTAAGGTAAAATATGATAGGTGCATTGTCAAAATGAGAGAGCTGTTAATAATATTGCTTTAAGCATATATTTATATTCAAGGTGTTCATTATACATCATGGATTATTATAAAGTTTCTTTTTTTGTTGTTGTGAGACTTGAACTCTGGTCCTAGGCACTGTCCCTGTCCCTAAGCTCTTCAGCTCAATGCGAGTGCTCTACCACTTGACCCACAGCACCACTTCCAGTTTTCTGAGTGGTTTATTGGACATAAAGAGTCTCATGGGCTTTCCTGCCTGGGCTGGCTTTGAACCGTGATCCTCAGAACTCAGACTCCTGAGTAGCTAGGATTGCAGATGTGAGCCACCGGCACCTGGCAAAGATTTTCTTTTTAAAAAAATTATTAAGAGAGGTTACAAACCTATAAGTCAGGTTGTAAGTACAATGCATCTTGATCAGCGTCATTCCTTCCATCATTCTCCCCTCACGTTTCTACTCTCAAGTTACACAGTGTAGTTTTTATATAATTTACACTGAATATAATGACTGCCTTTGCTCATACCCTCTTCCATCCAGTTGTGTGACCTCCTTCATTGCCCTCTTCTCATAATAAATGTAAGGTTTATCTAACTGAACTCCAGATAACATAATTTCAGCAGCAAGATTAAATTTACATGAATTATTTTTGTTTATCTCCAGTGAAGAGCACTGTAAGATTGGTTATTTTTAGGATGGTCATGTCTTTTCTACTGATTTAGAAATGACTAAAGGTTATTTTTCTCTACATTTTATTATAGTATAGTATTTACAGAAGCATACTACATGCCAGATGTGGACAGTAATATTGGTACACATAGTAGGTACTGTCCTTTGCTCATGAAGCCTCTAGTTTAAATTTTAAAAGGAAAAGATTAAAAAAAATGATTACAATGTAGGAAGTACTAAAGGATAAAGCAAATAAGAATTAAACTTAGTGGATTTGAGAGTATAGACTGTGGTATGTGTGTGTGTGTGTGTGTGTGTGTGTGTTAAAATAAGTTGAAAGCAATATGTGAGTGAGCAGAGGCATCTAGGAAGTGGGCGTGTAAGCTACTTGATTGCCAGGACAAATACCCAGGAGCAGGCATGCCCAGCTTGTTTGAAGAATGCTGTGAAGGCACTGCCTGGAAGAGTGTGTAGAAGGGACAATAGAAATGGGACAAATGAAATCAGAGGAAATGGATGGATCGGTGGGTGGGTAGGTAGATGGATGGATGGGTGGGTGCATGGACATGCATGGATAGTAAGTGGATCGTGCAAGAGTATAAGGCGATACTTGGGAGTTAATCCTGACCATGTAGGAATTCAGAGTCACTGAGTGTTGTACAGTAGAAGAGCTTCGCTGTGCTGTGTGGCAGTAGACTGATATGTACAAGAGTCATGGAAAATGGAGCCAGTAGTCCATATGAGAAGTAGTTGTTTCCTCAAAAGACTTTGGAAGTTCCCCGTAATTTACCATCCTTTTTCTCACATTTGCTTTTATAATATTTTAAGTCTGGGTTAGAGAACAGGGCACACTAGTTTTCAAGTACAATTGAAAGATTTTGGTGTTGATATTAAAGCAGCATGGGATTGTGGAGAAATTGTAGATAGTTTGTAGGAGGCAAAGATCTTGAGCAACAGTATCCGGAGCACACTAGAAGAAGCAACTTAGTTTTTGAGCACGTCTGCGAAAGGCCTTCCATCCATTATCACTGAAATTTGCATTTTATAAAATGTGAAGTTTCTTGAATAGTATACATTATTTCACAAATAATGAGAAATGATAATGTGAGACTATAGATCCTTTTCAAAGCAAAGCTAATAAAGCCACCGAAGAACTTTGGAATATTTTGTGTGTGGTGGCTGTTCTGTAGGATGACATCAGAAATGGTGGCAAATTTCAATTTTATGTATTCTGGGTGATTTCTTTTCTTTATGTGATTTTTTTTGTCCTGTTTTGTTGTGTTTTTGTGCCAGGACTGGGCTTGAATTCAGGGCCTGGGAGCTGTCCCTGACTTTTGTGCTCAAAGCTAGCATTCTACCACTTGAGCCACAGCCCCATTTCTGACTTCTTGGTAGTTGATTAAGAAAAGAGTTTCATGGACTTTCTTGCCCAGGCTGGCTTTGAATTGTGACCCTCAGATCTCACCCTCCTGAATAGCTAGAATTAATGGTGTAAGTCACCAGTGCCCAGTTTCAATTTTATGTGTTCTTACTCAAGTCAAGACTTAACAGAAAATCAGTTGAAAAAATTTACTCTGGTTTCCCTCCTGTTCATGTGGCTAATGAGCCCATTTGATTGACTAAATCTATCCTTTTATTTTTATTGAAATTAAAGATATCTTGAATGTTCAGTATGTTAATAAAGGCAATCTTTGGGTTTAAAGAATCAAATACTCAGTATTTTCCTGGCCATACCTGCCTGATACTTTGTATCTCAGGATCTCATCCTTTGTAAAAAGGAATGTGCTTTCTCTAAGGCTGAGATAACTATATATTATTTAGCCGTTTGTGCTTTTTCCTGTTTGCTAGATAAAATCTTTTAAAAAAATTTTGCAGTCCCAAGTGGGAGAATTTATTCATGTATATACACATATATTCACTCAAAATTAATTGATTTGGTTTTTAAGTTTGCCTACAGAAAAAAAGAAGTTATAACAATCCTTATTGTTATGTAAAGGTTTGTAATAAAATTTTTTGGTTTTGCTACTTTGTTTTAAACCTCTAGCTTACACTTTAAGAATGTTTAACTAGTTAATGTCTTAGCACTGTTTGAAAAGTGTTGGAGGTTCTAGAGCTCTTCTTCCCCCTCCCCCCCAATTTACTGTTGTTTTAGAGGTAATATACAATGGGGTTACTTTTTTTTTTTTTGGTTAGTTGTGCGGCTTGAACTCAGGGCCTAGGTGCTGTCCCTCAGCTCTTCAGCTCAAAGCTAGCACTCTACCACTTGAACCACAGCACTTCTTCCGATTTTCTAAGTGGTTTATTGGAATTAAGAGTCTCACAGACTTGCCTGGCTTTGAACTGTGATCCTCAGATCTCAGCCTCCTGAGTAGCTAGGATTACAGGCGTGAGCCACTGGCACCCGGCAGTGGGGTTACTTTTACATACATCGGGAAATAAGTACATTTCCTTTCTCATAGTGTCATCGGTTCCCACATTCTCTCCCATTCCCCCCTCTCCAATCTCTGCCCATGAGTTGCATAGTTCACTTTTATCAGTGTTTGGAGCAGCCAGTGTGCTCCACTGCAGCGTTTTCCACCCTTTCCCTCTGATTCTGTGTCCGCCACACTCCCACACATGTAGATGTGAACACACCACACACAAGGTAAAGAATACAGAGTGAACAAAATCAAGAAAAAGTCCTTTGTTTCCATATCTTTGGAGTTCATTTCAGTATGTATATTATTTTATATGCATATGAGGAAGTGCTTGGGTATTTGGCACCTTTGTGATTCTCTTCTAAGACTATTGTCTAGAGGTCTTCTTGATGTTTAGTCTTCTCATTTCTAAGAGACATGAACTTGGACCAGCCCTATCAGGTAGTTACACTGAGAGTAGAGGTTATATGCGAGGCACTTGGTACAGTGCTTCTGAGGTGAGGAGCTCGTGGCAGTGAATAGTGCCACTCCTGCTTCCTGTAGATGATCTCCATGTATGACAGAACTCAGTGAAGTGCTGCACTGCAGTCTGCATGTATGCGGAATGTGAACTCAATAAAGTGGTGCCCTGCAGTCTGCGCGTATGCGGAATATGTGGTGCCTTCTCCTCACCTCGAATGCTGAGAGCCATGGGTTGTCTACCAGAGTGATTCTGAACTGTTTCCAAATATTTTTCTTCATTTTGGAAGCTGTAGAGAAACTAAAAAGAAAGAATGTATATATCTTTTTTGTATATTATGAAATCATATCTGATAGATGACTTTATTAAAATATATAGTATATTGGAGCAAGGCTGGGTAACGTTAAAATTAAAGAAATTTTAAATTAAGTTTTGAAAAGTTTTATTGACTAAAAATGATCCTTCAGCGGTGCAGTTTCTAGCTCAAAGCTGTCAGACTGTAATAATATACATTGTCTTTTTTTTTTTTTTTTGGTCTGTCATGGGGCCTGAACTCTGTACCTGGGCGCTGTCCCTCAGCTCTTCAGCTCAAGACTAGCACTCTACCACTTGAGCCACAGCACCACTTCCGGCTTTGTCTGTTTAGGTGGTGCTGAGGAATCGAACCCAGGGCCTCATGCATGCAAGGCAAGCACTGTACCACTGAACCACCTTCCCAGCCTACACATTGTCTTATACATAGAATTTTAGATATATTAGACACCACTGGAGCCAACAGAGTTCAGATTGAACTTTTGGTGCTCTTGGAATAGTGTAACAATACTTGTGATGTTGTTGTTGTTGTTGATTTCATGGTTGCTTTAGGTGACTTTCCACTTTTATAAGTGCCCTTTTAATTTATAAGTGCCTAAATTAAGAAGAGAAATCAAGCCAGGTACTAATGACTTACACTTGTAATCCTAGCTGCTTAGCAGGTTGAGATCTGAGGGTTGGGAGTTCAAAACTAACCTAGGCAGAAAAGTTCTCAAGACTGTTTTCAGTTAACCCACATAAAAAGCTAGTGTAAATGATAGAGTGCTAGCCATGAAAAAAAAAAATGAGAGCATGAGGCCCTGAGTTCAAAACCTCATCTGAGTACATAAAAATAAACAAGATTAGTCATTGAAATCATAGCCTGAGAGTAAAGCTCAAGTGGTAGAGCACTTGCCTACCTGTGTGAGGACCTGGGTTCAAAAGTCAGTACCACACACCTCCCCCCCAAAAAAAGAGGAATAAAATCATAAACTATTATTGTAGTGTACCAGAAACAAATTCCATGTGCAATAAAAATACTTCTTCCAGGGCACAAGTGGCTCAGTTCTATAATTCAGGAGGCTTAGGTCTGAGGTACACACTTTGAAGACAGAGCAGGCAGGAGAGTCTCTGAGATTCTTACCTTAGTTAACCACCGAAAAGCCAAAAGTAGATCCATGGTTCAAGTGGTAACCCCCCAGGCTTAAGCATAAAAATTGACTGGCAACACTTAGACCCTGGGTTCAAGCCCCAGGACCAGTACAACTACAACAGTAGTGAACAATAAAATATGTTCACCTGCTGGGAGCTTGAAACTCTGTGAGTACAGTGGGGGGGAAAAAAAGAATTAAACCTAAAAGAAAATGAAGTCACTGTGTGTCCCAAGTGGGAACATGATGACCTCAGAACAGACTATTGCTGGTAAAGGGTGCTGGGAAGTGTGGGGCGAAATGTATTGAGGTTCTAGCAGGCAAAGGGCAGAACCCAAGCCCTGGGAGCCATCCCTGAGCCTTTTTTTTTTTTTTTCGCTAAAGGCTAGCACTTAGCACTTTAGCCACAGCTCCTCTTCTGGTTTTTGGGTGGTTAATTAAAGCTAAGAATCTCACAAACTTTCTTGTGTGGGTTTCATTTACCAGTTTCATTCATCTTTCTACCTTCAAACCCTTTTCAAGTTATTAGTTTTCCCTTTTCCTGTTTTCTGACCTTGCAACTTTATATTTTGACCTTGCAACTTTATATTTTAAAAAGAGATTGCTTTAACATAATTTTAGTTGTATTTCAGGAAAGTCAATTAGATAAACAAATTTGATTTATCATCTTAAAATTTCTTTTAGATAGGGTTTATTTGAGTGCAATGAATGGGCATTTTGTGATCTTTGATACTTTAAGTAACTATTTCATGGATTAGTTATATTTATATAAAGCAGTTCTTAAAATTATAATGAAATTGGCCTTAAAGACACTGTAATAAAAGAAAATACCCTGTTCAGAAATACATTGTATATACTACTTAAGATAATAAAGGAATTGATTTAGTCATAAAATTTATTTGATAAATTTGCCCATTTATCAAGACAGAACTTGTCTTTTGTCTTCAAAGTCTTAGAAGCCTTTGATTGCCATAATACTATAACAGCATTCTCTAAGACCTGAACTGTCAAGTGTTCTTAATTGTATTTGCTCCATTCAGTCGCCTATTAGGGACACAAACTTCAAAGAACTGATTAAAATGGAGCTTGACATTGATGCATAGGAATGTAACTGTGGACCTAGCTTTGTCTAGGTGTAAGGAATTCTTTAATACAGTGATGGCTAGAATAAATTTTAGGAGTTAGGGAGAAGGCAGCAGTTGAGGAGGTAGTGGAAGAAAGAGCTTAATATAGTCAAGGAACCATATAGTTCATTGTGATTGGAGTGTGATTAAACTGGCAAGTTTATACCAGTGGCTTACACCTGTAATCCTAGCTACTCAGGAGACTGAGATCTGAGGATCGTGGTTCAAAGCTAACCAGGACAGGAAAATCCATGAGACTCTTATCTCCAATTAAAAAAAGCCACCAGAAAACCAAAAGTGGTGCTGTGGCTAAAGTGGTAGAGTGTGTGTCTTGAACTAAAGAGCTGATAATACAGCCCAGAGTGCAAGCCCGACAAACAACAGAAAAAACAACAACAAAAACTGGCAAGTTCACTCTTGTCTTCCATAATGGGCCTTAGAATTTTGAATTCATTTTGAGGGCTTTGAGAACCTATGAAAGGATTTGATGAAGCAGGAAAATGGCTCATATTTATAGAGCAATTATTTAAGAAACTGAGCAGAGAGGAGTAAGCGTTGACTTGGGGGAACTAGATAGTAGAGGATTGCAGTAAAGTAACTGTAGAATAAGATCGTAGTAGAGAAAAATAATTGCTTCTGAGAGAAGGAGACTGAAGGAGTCTTGATTGTGAGAGAAAAGATACTAGAAAATGTCACAGCTGTTTTCTGGGCTGTCTTCCCCCAGGGTACATTTCCAAATCTTTTAAATGATGATGGGTACTAGTAGTACAGGGAGAAAGTTCATCTTAAAATAATAGTTAATTTTGGATATATGGTTTTTCAGTAACTAGGTGTAATGCCTACTTGTATTTGTGGTTGGAACCCAGAAGAGGGACTAGAGAGACAGTCTTGAGATCTGGGACCTGAAGATGTAATTAAAAGCAAATGAATAATTTGTAAAGTGCAAATTGATAATTGTCTTTTTGAGCTCTTTCTGTTTCCCCTTCCCTGATACTTCGCTTTATTTCCTGAAGAGAATCCTCTATTAAGCAGCATGGTTCCCACAGTCATTTGGGATCACTTCCATCTCTTTCTCTTCTTTCCCAATCTGCTGTGATACCCAGTTAATCTAATGACTTGGTGATTATATCACCAAGTTGCTTCGTATATCCTATTACATAGAAATATGATGTGTTGAACAAATTTTTCTCAATTCATTCTTTTACTTTTTTTCCAGAAGGAGAACTTATGGATTGTGATGGGAAATCAGAATCTAGCCCTGAACGGGAAGCTGTGGATGACGAAACTAAGGGAGTGGAAGGAGCTGATGGCGTGAAAAAGAGAAAGAGGAAACCATACAGACCAGGTCGAGCATCTAGTTAGATGTTTAATATGACCAGTACTTAGGTTAAGAGCAATATACTACTGAGGACTTTAATTATTGGTGAAAATCAGGACTAAGTACATCATCTTAACAACTATCTAAAACTTGTAGCTACACACCAGTGGTGCACGCCTGTAATCCTAACTACTCAGGAGGCTGAGATCTGAGAATCACAGTTTGAAGCCAGTCCAGGCAGGAAAATCTATGAGATTTATCTTGCAATTAACCACCAAAAAAATCTGAAATGTAACTATGGCTCAAGTGGTAACATGCTATCCCTGAGTACAAAAGTTCAGAGACAATGCCCAGGCCCTGAGTTCAAGCCCTAGGACCAGCATTAAAATAATAATAATAATAAAACTTATTTATTGCCTGGTTCTTTAACCATGCTCTGAATTTGCTAATTGGCTGATAAATTCCCTAGATGGAGTGAATACTTGACAATGAATGACTACTTAATGCCTCTTACACAATGTTTTCCTAGGTTAATTTTTTTACTTTTAAAAAGCTTTGTCTTTCTTGATTGGTACTTCTACATTTCTCTTTTTGTGAGTTACTTGCTAATACTTTTGTGTTTTTAAAAACTATTTCAGGGGGCTGGAAAGGTGGCTCAGTGGTAGAGTGCTTGCCTTGCATATTCCTCAGCACCACATAAGCAGAAAAAGCCGGAAGTGGCTCTGTGGCTCAAGTAGTAGAGTGCTCACTTTGAGCTGAAGAGCTGAGGGACAGCACCCAGGCCCAGAGTTCAGGTCCCATGACTGGCCAAAAACAAATAAATCTACTTCAGTGTTTATGTAGATATTATAAGTAAATGTACAGTGTGAAGTTGGACAAGGTTCTCTTGGCCTCCTAGAATTTGTAGTCGAGCTAATACCACATTTCATTAAATATTTCCTTATTACTTATCTGCCTTGCTTTACTATTTTTGGAAAACATTATTAATGTCTTTTGAGTGTTACTGTCTATATCATCAATGAAGTATTAAATTGTATCAGCATAGTCTACAATCTTTATCCTTCTGTGTGTTTACAGTTTAAGAAACTTAAGTTTTGATGTGTAAGGGAGAACTTTTTGCTGAATTTACCTGCCACTCCTTCAAATGTAGCCGGATAGACAGGCCATATCTGTAAGAACTGAAGATTAGTTTCTTTATATCATATTATGAAAATAATTTCCCTGTAGCTATGAAGCTTACATAAACTTTGTTTTGTGGTATTTTTCTTTGTTTGGGGTTTTCTGGTGCCTGTTCTGGGTCTTGAACCTAGGACCTGCTCACTGTTCCTGGGTTTCTTTGCTCAAGGCTAGTTCCACTTGAGCCCACCTCCACTTCCAGCTTTTTGATGGTTAATTGGAGATAAGAATCACGCAGGCTTTCCCAGGCTTGCTTCAAACTGTGATCCTTAGTTCTCATCTTCCTGAGTAGCTAGGATAACATGTATGAGCCACTGGAGCCTGGATAAACAACATTTTTTTATTCAATGCAACTTAATTTTAAGAACATTCCTTGTTTTCTGTTTTCCTTTTTTCTCTTCCTTACATGGAAGATACCCTTTAATTCAGAAAACATAGTCTGTTGTTAGGCAACTATCATTTTTAGCATATGTTAAATGTACAAAGGGTTTCATTGTGATGTATCTACATATGCTTATAGTGTACTTTGAATTCATCTTGCTACTTTCTCCCTCTTACCCCTTATTATTACCATTCTATATTTTTTACATGCATATAACATACTTTGATGATTTTCATCCCTCCATCACCCCCTCGTTTTGGCTCCTCGGTCATTTGGCAAGAGCTTATAGTGCTGACTGCCAAGCAGTCTTCTGCTTGTATATGGGGAGCTGTGCTGTACATCATCCCTGTTTCACCAGCGAGGGAACGGTGGCATTGAAGAGTTAAATAACTTGCCCAAATTTGGTGAACAGAATTGCATAGTCCGGCCAGATTCTATGCTGTTTATTGTAGAGTTCTAGCATCTCATGTTGAAAGGCCTTCATACCGTGGAAAAATGAGGTAGTCCCCCGAAGTCGCATTAATCAATGATTATATCACCTGGTTTAGTGTGTATCTTCTGTTTTTCAGTTAATGAACAGATTGTTCTGCTAATGTACAAATAATTTGATAGATGAGTTATTCAGTAGACAAGCAAGCACCAACTACTATTTAGTATTCACTGTGACTTGTGTTGAAGAGGAAATACAAGCAGCTTTTTCTGTGCTCTAGCAAATTTTAATTCATATTTGATTAGGGGAAACAATGGCCTTGACATTTAATTTTTATTTCCTACCTCTTCAATTTTCCATAAAATGAAATTTGTTGATTCAGATTTGCCCAGGCTGAATTTTGAAAATAATATGCCAAATCAGAAAATAATAAACCAAAGTTGCTTAATCCTACTGATTGTGGAACTATAGAGAGAAATTAATGATCAGTTTACCCAATTTCTTTCTTGAATAGGTATTGGTGGGTTTATGGTACGGCAAAGAAGTCGAACTGGGCAAGGAAAAACCAAAAGATCTATGATCAGAAAAGATTCTTCAGGCTCTATATCTGAGCAGTTACCTAACAGAGATGATGGTATGGTATTGATTTTGCTTAATACCTTTGTCTGGAAAAAACTCCTAAATAATGAAATTGTCACAACCTTATTGTCTCTTAGTAACCAAAGGATGAAAGTGCCTATAGACTGTTAGTGTAGCAGTCATGTTTTATAAGGAAATGCTTTAAATTCAGTGGATTCTGTTTCTTCTTTGCTTTGTTTTAGTTTTGTTTTTCTAACCCCGTAGCTAAGGCTGGTTTTGAACTCATGTTCCTCCTACCTCAGCCTCTTAAAGTGTTGACCTTTTTTCCCCTCTCCTTTCTTTGGTGCCAGGGATGGACCTCAAGAGTCTCATATTGCCAATAAGCTCGTATTATACATTAAGTAACCCTTCACCCTGTCCTTGGATACTTTCATAATTTCCTCCACCCAACTTTTTTCTTTTTTTATATTTTTTATTATGATTAAGTGGTTACATAAATTTCACAGTATTGCGAGATAGTGATACTTAAAGTCACAAACACATTCTAACCTTCATGAGGCAATTTGTCATTATTGTGGTCTATAAGGTTCGTAAATTCTATGAGCTTTGACAATAAAACTATTTCTTCCACATCGGGCCTCCACCCCAATATTAAGCATATTTGCAATGTAAGGACTGAATCACTTTAGTTACGTATGATACTTTTTTGGTCATCTCATCAACGATATTGTTGCTTGTCTTAGTTATTTCATGTATAATTTGACACTGAATATTGAAAGTGACAGGGTAATTCAACAACTTTTAACAAAATAACAGTATTTTATAAATACCTTTCAATGAACATTCTGACATCTTCATTTAGTCCCTGAAAGCTAAAAGCATTGCTAAAGCCACACCTTTCTATCAGATAAGAATACATTACTGTGTTTTCTCAATTTCTGAAATGGCTCTGATGGAGACTTTATAATCAGTATGTTCATAAGATGTTGTGAAGCAGGTTGTTAGTGTGTCCTCCAAACAGCCCTTCCTTTGTTAGGGATAGGGTTTTGACCTCATATTAATAAAAGTCAGAATTTGCTGCCTAGTTTAGGTAACTTATAATGGTTTTCAAAAAGTTTCTAATATGACTGTAATAAGCCCCTAATGTTGTGCTTTCCTTTTTCTGTCCCCTGAATATTTTAGATCAACCTTTTAATTCAGTATTTTCATGTGTGGCTAATCAAAACTCATCCATTGAGTTTTTAACTTAGAAAATAATAATTTCTTCCCTTTCTAAATACTTTTCCCCTTGGTCCTAGTGCTTGATCTCATGGCTTGGAACCTATCCCTAAGCTTTAAAAAAAAAAAAAACAGCTCACGGTTAGCTCTCTTCTATTTGAGCCACAACTACATTCTGGCTGGTTTGATGGTGCTTAATTGGAGATGAGAGCCTCATAGGCTTTGCTACCTGGTTGGCTTGAACTGTGATCCTCAGATCTCAGCCTCCTGAGTAGTTAGAATGACAGGCGTGAGCCACTGGCACCTGGCCTAAATACTTTGTAGTTTTAATAATGCCTTGTAGATTCATTTGAAAGTTTATTTTTCCAGTCATCTTTTATTTCTTCATGTCATTGATTTAGAACATAAATTTATGAAGCCTTTCTCTATCTGATTCTAGTCTTTGATTCTGTTGGCTTCATCTAAGAGTTCCTCATTGCATTATATATATAAAATAAAATAATGTAACATATTATCATATATAATATATATTACATTGTATATAATATATATGTATGTGCATATGTGTAGGAGACGCATTTATTTGCTGTAAACAGTGTTCTTTGGAACATTCTCTGAATTTTTCAGGGATTCTGTTGCAGGCTATCATTCTAGACTACTTTGAGTTTTATGCTATGCTTAAAAATAGTTTGATTCACTCAGGTTATTTCATACATGAAGGCTATATTGAGTCTAAGGTTTTCTACTGTATTCTTCAAATACTTGTATAAAGGGTGTCCGTTTACCATGTCAACGTGTGCACATTGCATCTTGATCAGGGGCACTCCTTCCCTCATCACCCCCACCCCATCCTGTCCCATCCCATCTGTCTCCCCGTTTCCTTCCGTTTTTCACCTGCATACATATGGCCGTAGTCACCCACCATTCCTTTTTTCACTCACCTATGCCCCTCTAAACTTTTAGTGTCCACTCTTCAGTCAAGACATATTTCTGGTATTCATGTTGTTATTAGGAAGAGAAAGAAGCATAGTGACACTAGATATGCATGAAATGAATTTTGTACATAAAACATACTGATAAACTTGCTTTGAGATCTTCATGTGACTCAAAAGCTTGTTTGTTTATATGGCACTGTGTATGTTGATAAGCTTGAAGATTATTTTGTATGGATTAAATGCCATGTGTTTATAGGTGTCTCTATTGTTTCAGGCTGGAGTGAGCAGTTACCAGATTCTTTAGTTGATGAGTCTATTTCTGTTGCTGAAAGCACTGAAAAAATTAAGAAAAGATATCGAAAAAGGAAAAACAAGCTTGAAGAGACATTTCCTGCCTATTTACAGGTAATATTTTGGTTTATAGTTTATGACCTTGTCTCCAATCCAGTGTTTTAGCTTTGTGAATTTTTAAAAATGTTTCTTTCATTCATAGTTCATTAAAGAATTTGATCAGTTGAAATCAAAAATAGTATCTCCTTCCCCATAGTTCATTCTCAATATCTTTCAACAATTAGCTGTGTTAGCATTTTACTATTTCTTTTTAGTAATTTTTGAAGAATTTAATTCTGCTTTTTCTTTCTTTGTTTTTTTGGTTGGTCACGGGGCTTGAACCTGGGTGCTGTCCTTGAGCCTTTTTGCTTATGACTAATGTTCTGCCACTTTGAGCTGCAGTGCCACTTCTGGTTTTCTGATAGTTGATTGGTGATCAGTCTGGGACTTATGTGCCCAGACTGGCTTCAAACCATGATTCTCAGATCTCAGCTTCCTGAGAAGCTAGAATTATACGCATGAGCCACTGGCACCTGACTTAAATTTACATTTTAATAATTACCTTGATTACATATTTTGCTAGGTCTTTGAGTTGGCTTTCTTTTTAGCATGGCTGTATGTGCTTTTTTAAACTGCCTTTTGTAGTGTAAGTACCTATTATTACTTAGGCACATGCCACAATTTCACTTTCGGTTTATGTATGGGTGGCAAGAGAATTAAAATTATTTTTGTAACATCAAAAGAATATGTCATCCACGTAATAGAGCATAAACTAAAGCAGGGCTGTTGGGTTGGAGGAAGAGCAAAGGGGTCCTAGTGTTTCCTGTTTATCTTCAGTATTGCTCTTTCTTGGAAATTTTTGATCTTTTGAGAAGCTTTAGTGAGAGAAGAGGTTAGTAGGAATACAACTGAAGTAGGAGCCTCTGGGGTAGAACGTGTCTGGGTGGAGAAGAGGTCACTTGAGTAGAGTCAGCCCCTAGTAGCTGCCAAGCTTGTATACATCTATGCAGTGTTTGAGGCATAAAACCCTCTTTCAGATTTGTGCTCAATATTGATTACTAAATCTATCTGAAGTATGTAAATATTAAAGCTGTAGATCAAAGTCTGGTGTTAGCCTCTCTAAGTAATCTATAAATATTAACAATATTCATAAGGCTTTAGTTTTGCTTATAATATGAATTAAGGTACCAATAGTCCTGTAAATCTATCCGCTTTTAAATTTAATTATAGTTGAATCTTCGTCAATTGAATTATTACCTTCTAGTTGCTGGAAATACATTTGACATCATTGTGTGTTTATGTTTGTGAAATTTTATGTGTCTCTGGGAAAGCTACAAAAAAAATCTTACTTTTAAAGTTAAGGAAATCTATCTAAAAGAATGGATAGACTATTTTTCCATATTTTTACATTCAGTTTCTGCATTGTTAAATGCAAATGTTGTGTGTCATTTCTATTTCCTTATTAAAAATGATGATAGATATCACCCGATGTGGAAGAAATAACTGTGTTGTCAAAACTCATAGAACTCATAAACGTTATAGACCACGATAAAAACAATTTGCCCCATGAAGGTTAGAATGTGTTTGTGACTTTAAGTATCACCATCTCACAATACTGTAAAATTTATGTAATCACTTAATCACAATAAAAAAATTGCTAAAAAAGATGATAGAATGATATCTTTTTAGAGTTTTGGAGCTAATAATTTTCCTTTTTTTTTTTTTGGTCGGTCATGGGGCTTGAACTCTGGGCTTGGGCACTGTCCCTGCGCTCTTCAGCTCAAGGTGAGCGCTCTACTGCTTAAGCCACAGCACCACTTCCGGTTTTCCAGTGGTTTATTGGAGATAAGAGTCTCATGGACTATCCTCCCCTGGCTGGCTTTGAACCTCGAACCTCAGATCTCAGCCTCCTGAGTAGCTAGGATTACAGGCGTGCGCCACCGGCGCCCAGCTGAGCTAGTAATTTTCTGTGTGCTTATCTTTGCTTAGGAAGCTTTCTTTGGAAAAGATCTTCTAGATACAAGCAGACAAAACAAACTCAGTTTAGATCATCTGTCAGAAGATGCCGGCCAGCTGTCATATAAAACAAGCATGAATTCAGGCTTCTTGGATTCTTCCTTAGATCCACTTCTGAGTTCATCCTCCCCTCCAGCAAAACCTGGCACACAAGGTAGGTGGATTGATTCACAAGTGTTCTCTTCCCCTAAGAATGTTTTTGTTTGCCCTCATATGCCTCAGCTTTACCGGGGTGTAATTTATACTTAATAAATACAACTACAAGGGCTTGGAAGGTGGCTCAGTGGTAGAGTGCTTGCCTTGCATGCCTAAGGCCCTGGGTTCGACTCCTCAGCACCACATAAGCAAAAAGCAAAAAGCCGGAAGTGGTACTATGGCTCAAGTGGTAGAGCGCTAGCCTTGAGCTGAAGAGCTAAGGGACAGCACCCGGGCCCAGAGTTCAGGCCCCACGACTGGACCCAAAAAAACAAAAAATACAACTACATTAAGTTGATAGTTCATTAAACTTTTACAAATTAATTTAACAGTGAACTACTACCCCCATCAGGAGATGTGAAATCAGTGTAAGGAGGTGTAATTTGGCCAGAGTTAGTTAGAAGTAAAATCTTCAATTTAGGTAAACTATATGTTTGTCAGTTATACAGTTTAGAGAAAGGAAAAAACAGAAGGAAACAAAAAGAATGCCATGGTTGGGAAATTACTGGAGACTGGTAATACAGGGAAATATATCACCCTACATGTGGCTTCTCCCTCCCGGCAATCGGACTCAGGGAATTCTTCTTTTTTTTTTTGTCAGTTGTGGGGCTTGAACTCTCAGCCTAAGCACTGTCCCTCAGCTCTTCAGCTCAAAGCTAGTGCTCTACCACTTGAGCTACAGCGCCACTTCCGGTTTTCTAGTGGTTTATTGGAGATAGGAGTCTCACGGTCTCTCCTGCCCGGGCTGGCTTTGAACCACGATCCTCAGATCTCAG